AATCTGGAAGAAACAAGCAGGGGCGTATGTATAGCCTACAATACGGGGCACGTGAACTCATGGAGGGATCCCTCCGTCAAATTAGGTATATTATGTATGTATTTTCTAAAATTTGTCCAGTATTATGTATTGGCAACCATGCTCCATAAAGGTTGAATGGTACACTTGATTTAATGCTTAATTATTTTTCCTTATTTTTTAGTGGTGCACTAATGTTCTCGAAATCCTAGATCCCGAAAACAAGTGCAAGTCCTATATATGTCTCGTGATAATAACCAATAAAAAAATAGAAAGAGAGAAAGAAATCGCAAAATCAGACTAACTAATGCTATATATTACTAGTACTAGTTATTTGAGGCCAGTAAAAAGAATAACAAAAATACAATTGCAGTAGTGAAGGAATTAAGTAAAGAAAGAAAGAAATACAATAAAAAACACAAAACCTAAACCTGTTGCTAACTCTTCTATGGTGACTATATTAATTATTAATTATAATTAATTAATAATTAATAATATTAATCATTACAACCCAAATGAACGTAGAATACTATTTAACCACAAGTGCTTTATATATAAATTTTTGAAATATAACTCACCATGCACAAATATAGAAAAAAAGTACCGAGAATTTTTATATTATTTACTAGCCAAAATTATTACTTTTGAAAGATTTCCTACATAAGATCTTAAAGGTTTTGGATTCTGTCTTGCCAACACGAAAAGAAGTATTGTAAATTAAGACATAGTTTTATATAAAATTACTTGCTACAGTAATAAACTAAATTCACATGTTGTTACTGGACTTTAACTGCTACAATAGTAAAATGAATTTTTTTTTTATCATATTAAAGTAGCTTATAATGAACTCCTTTTGTCTCAATTTATGTGACGGTATTTAATTAGATACGAAGTTTAAAAAAGAAAAGAAAAACTTTTAAAGCTTGTGGTTAGAATAAGTCGTAAATATTTATATGATTATAATTTGTGCTAAGTACATGTATAATAATATATAATAGGTGTATAATCATGTAAAATTAATATTTAATTAATGTATATCGACTAGAAAAAACAAACAGTAAATTCGGCCAGCTATTTTTGCGAAGATCTCAATAATATGTACAACAAGGAAAAATGACATTGTATAGCCGCTGTAAAAATAATAAACAAAAATCATATATATTTTATACACTTTTTCGGCTACCAAATGTAAATAGTTTCTGGCGCGGGCTAAAAATGATAACAGCATTTGGCGGAGGAGGAGGAGCAATGGGCCTACTGTTTTGAAAAGGGATTTTTTCATTCCTATACACTATTGGAAACTTTATTACCCTAAATGTTCATGTTTAGTTAATTACCCGGCATAAACAAGTTTTGTTTACAAAATATATACAATCCACCTTAAAAGGCTCACAATCCATTATTTGTGCCTTCAATCAAGGGATTTAGTCACACCCTTTTCCTTTTTCTCTCCTCTGTCCCCTCATCTCTCCAAAATCTGAAGCATAAGAAAAAAAATTAAGTTTTGATAACAAATTAAATAAACGAGATGCTACTAGCACAACTGTGCAACTAAAATTGGTAATCGCCATTGATGATGGAGGCGCTAGCAGACTGGGCTATTGATTTCTTCCTAAGTACGTCCAAACACTTTGATGTTACTGTTCCCTAAATGTGATTTTTGGGGGATGGGGTGGGGGTGCTAGCAGCATAGTTTAGGAGTGAAAATTACTACAGTTAATTTTGAGCGCCCATAGGCATTCGCTCTACAGCTGGAGTACAGGGCTAATAAAGGGACAGAGCGCGGTCTCAGAATTCTTCAAGTTGAGATTTGTAGATAAAAAATAAAAAGAATATTTGATCAGAATTTTACAACTTATCTACATTATTTTGTATACATAGTAAAGACAAATTTCATATAACTAACTATATATTATACAACTTATCTACAATTTATCTACAACTTTCATACATTATTTCTCCCAAGTTATATACAACTACAATATCATACTACTTAATACAAATTTTATACAATATGTCTTTTGTATATTTTGTATCTAACTTATACATAGTAAAAAAAAAACATACAACTAATTATATATTATACAACTTATCTACAATTTTATACATTATTTCTACCCATTTAAATACAACTACAATACAAAATTTATACAATATGTCTTTTGTATCTGATTTATACATAGTAAAAACAAATTTCATACAACTAATCTACAATTTTCATACACTATTTCTACCCAGTTATATACAACTACAATATCATGCAACTTAAATATAATTTTTATACAATATTGTTCAGCTTTCATACAATAGTTAAATAAATAAAAAAATATATATAAACAACATAATATAATTTTTCTACAATTTTACTACAATTTCGTAAATATAATGTATATCATGTCTTCTTTTTCTTCTTCTTCGAGTTTCAATCTGAAATTCAGCCAAAATCAAGTCTAATCTTCACCAAAACACCCTCAAAATTGAGATATAAACTCCAAACCATATTCCCAATTGTTTGCAACAACACCCAATCCAAACAAATAATGATTTTTGAAAATCCAAATTCGAATTCAAAGCTTTTTAATGGCTTTGCTGCTCTCTTTTCCTTTGCTTTACATTACTGAAATTAGGGATTGGGAGATATAGAGAGACGTAGAGAGAATCCCAGTTCTTTGCAATAATACCCAATTCAAATAAATAATATTTTACGAAAACCCAAATTCGAATTAAAGGGAAACAAACGAAACAACTTTGATGAGAAAACATCCAAATCAAATGAAGGAATATCTGCTTCTTTGTCTTTTGTAGGGATGTTTTTTGAATATATCTTCTTCTTCATTGAAAATCAAGCTAGTAAGAGACGTTAATGGAGGTAGGAATTTTGAATGAGTAAAAATTTCGTCTAGTTTTTGAAGAAGAGATGAAATAGGCGTTAATGGAGGACTTTTGAGATTTGTGAAGAGAAACTCGTGGGTGAGTGCATAATACGTGGGTGAGGGGGTGAGATGTGGAGAGAGAAATGTGTGTGTGTGTGGGGTGGGGGGGGGGGGGGGAATATACGGTAGAGTTATTTTAGAACACTAATTAATATAATTAATTCCATTAAAATGTACATAAATGATAATTGGGTATATAAAAAATATAACGAGAGAACTTCATTTATAGCCCATCGGGCAAAACAAATTTCAACCGTTAGCCCACAAATTGACCCATACAAGTCATAGCCTAAAAATAATGACAAGTGCTAGCCGAAAACTTCACTGATCGAATTCCCTCGCCGGAAAATCCTAGATCTAAGAAGATCTGGACTTTTACCCATTAAAACAACAGCGAAACGCGGAAAATCCTAGAACCGGCCAGATCTAAGAAGATCTGGACTTTTACCCGTTAAATCAAAAACAAAAGAAAAAGGGGTGTGTGCAAGCATCTGTTACCAGCAACACAGAAAAAACAAAAAGCAAAACAATTGTAAAAATGGAGAAAGAAAAGGTGTCCTTGGTCCAGTTGAGAAGGGAGCCCGAGCTTTAAGTATTCTTCGTGACATATTTCTTGCAAATGTTCCTGTACATCAACATATTTCAATAGCAGCAACCTATAGGGAAGAAGAGGAAAGCGAGAGGAGCAGTGTGTAGCATAAGGCAACGAGAGAGACAGTCTTGTCTTCTTTCTCTGATTTTCTCTTATAGTTTCTGTAAATATGTAGATAATATTTTAAAGATCTTTGGCTAAATATTTAAAACTCCGGCGATCTTGTTACCATTTTCGGGAATTGTGAGGCCATGGACGCCGGTGGCTGGTTTCTCAATGAGAGGAAGAACAAAGGAGATGACTATGAAAAAAGTTGAAATATCTACAAAATAGACTCTTACTATACAAAAATTATACAAAATAGAATGTCACTATACAATTTATATACAAATAGACTGTCACTATACAATTTATATACAAATAGAGTGCCACTATACAAAATATATACAAAAATAGAATGTCATTATACAAAAAATATACTAAACAGACTGTCATTATACAAAATAGACTATCACTATATAAAAATATACTAAATAGACTGCCACTATACAATTTATATACAATTAGCTCTCACTATACAAAATATATACAAAATAAATTGTCACTATACAAAATAAACTGTCACTATACAAAATAGACTGTTACTATACAAAAAATATACAAAATAGACTGTCACTATACAAATAGAATGTTACTATACAAAAAATATACAAAAATAGACTGTTATTATACAAAAATAGACATTTCGTATATGACCTGCATTACATATTTCATTCAATTGTTAGCTAATACTTATCAGATCCAGAAGTACATTTAAAAAGGCAAAAAGGGTTGCTCTATAGCGCAAGGTAGGGGTCGAACCTATGACCTTCAGCTTAGGAAACATGCACTCTATCCACTGAGCTACAGGCGCCTGTGTTGTCATGCTTATTCCTTTCGGCATTTTTTTTAAGTAGGACAAAACATGGGCTATTAAAATTTTGAGGTGTTATAGAGGATAGTTTTCTCAAATATAATTATAGTAAACCTTGAGTAGGGAGGGTAATATAGTTTCATATAGTGTATAGGAATGTAAAAATCTCTTTTCAAAATGAACCAAATTACATCCTAAAAGGCCCATTTGAGTGGATTAACCACAGGCCCAAATCCTCATTTCCATTGTAATTCTACATCTTGACCCGAATTTCCACAGATTTTGTCTTCACTTTTGAATTCTACCTCATTGCTGCAGTCAATTGAGTGAATTACAGGTTTCCCTCTCACCCTTTCTTAGATTTATTCTCTTATTTTTCTTTTTTCTTTGTTGACATCAAATCCAAAACTCCAATTCTCTTTGAATAGTTCGGCAAAAATCTGTGTTCATTTCTTATTTGCATTTCTCTGTGTAATCTGAATTTTGCAGGTCCAATTGTTAATTTTTTTTCTGCAATTTGCTTATTGTGGCCTTTTTAGACAGAATTATTTGTTGAAAGATGTTTTCTTATTGAGTTTATGATCTGTTTGAGAGGAATTCAAAATTTTAAGTCAGTGAATGCTCATAATTGCTGAACCCATTAGCAACGTGTGTGTGTGTGTACATTTACATATTTAAATTGTTCAACTATGTGTGTCAACTATATATAGGTTGAGTCGAAAGCAATGGACACCTGTTGCACATATACTACCTCAGCCTATATTGTTAAAGGAAATCTTTTTGGCGGTTTCTGCATGACCCTTGATAGGAAGATGTGGAGGTCGAGAAATAAGGTAGAAGGCTAGTAGGTAGTCGTGAGTGTTTCTTTTTCATACCAATAGTATTAGTGTTAGTCTAGTGCGATACTACTGTTAAATTTATAGTGTTACGTGTTGTCCTCTTTGCTTTGTTTTCTGTTTTTCTTGTTGTTGTTAATGCTTGTGCTACTGCTTTATTTTCATCTTGCCCTGAGTCGAGGGTCTATTGGAAATAGTCTCTCTACCTTCCAGGTAGGGGTAAGGTCTACGTACATACTACCTCCCCAGACCCCACTTGTGGCATTATACTGGGATTGTTGTTATTGGTTTCTACTAGGGGCGGATGTAGTGCATTGCCTTGGGTTCATCCAAACCTAGTAGCTTTGGCTCAGACCCTGTATATGTATTAAAAAAATTCACTTTGTATAATAGATTTTGAACCCAGTTAATCAAATAGGCCGATGGCCTAGGTTGGTGACTTCCATTGCACTTTGGAAGGGCGCCCGCCTAAGGTCGGCCCAAGTGGCCGAGCCTACGTCATAATTTATGGCAGCGGGAGCCTGCGTTCATGCGGCTCCTACTATTAAATGCATAAATAAAAAATATCAAAAAAGAATCTCAACCTCATAAAGTTTGAATCTTGGATCCACCTATGGTTTCTTACAAGGGTTCTGCCCCACCTTGAATGAGATATCTGGTTGATAAACTTATGAAACACTTGCATGCTTTTATTGTGTCTTTGTGGGTGTATATATTGCCTCTATGTGCTATAGACTGACACTGTTTCTTTAAATGGTGTTTCTCAGAGAAATATTCAAACTCAGTGAAGGGAGTTCAAAGTAATGGATAAGGAGAAAATAGAGCATTTGAAGATTCAAATGCAGCAGTGGTTATATGAAGTTGAAGAATATGTTCATCAGATACCCCCTACTCAACTTTATGCTGCAATTGGTGTCGTCTTATTTACCGTGATTTTGTTTCTAATAAGTAAGCTGTTACTATATTCCTTTAACACATTTTGCACTTTAGAGTCTTTCTTGGGTGTGTCAAATGGCTATCTGTACTTTCCTTTTGAGCTCATCGCATGTGTGATTTACTCTTAGATCAAATGTATCTTCGTCTTTTGACAATCCAACATGTTGGGGCAAAAAAGTAACCACTATAAACAGAATGAGACTTGGGTAGAACTACCTTGTGGTTGTACCTTAAAGTGTTGGAGATTTCCCAAATCCTGTGAACTATTAATGCGAATGTTGGCTTACTAATCCAGTTATTCACGTAATTCAAGAAGTAAAATCATCAGGTATGTCTTCTTTTTGTAACTTGGAATTATCTTACTGTTTAAGAAATCTCTGTAATGCAACTTAAATTGCATATTGTGAAAAGGAAGTACCTTGAACTTGGAGAAGGATCTAGAAGGATAAGTATTTTAGGAGGTAAAGAATAGAGGCGAGATGACTCTACCACATTATTGCCTTCCTTCCAAGTCTGAATTAGCTTTTGAGCCGAGACTTGGCAGAAGATTCCTAATTATTCTGGATAATCTTCTTGTTTTGGATGCTCATTAGGTTAAAGGGATCTTAGTCTCTATCGGAATTTCAACCTATCTATCGCCATCGTCCTTGCTAATGTAAAGCAACCAAGGCTGTCCATTTTTAACATATCATTTATATCTTAATCAGGTTCAATTGCTCTTGACTCAAAGCCCCAGAGTTCCCTATATTATGTCTCCTGTAGTTCATAGTGCTACTGTCCAGCATATCTTCTTCTTAAGTCACTAGGTGCGTTGTTTCTTCTGGCTTCATGGTGCTGCTTCTTTCTAACCTTAATGAAATTTTTTTGACTTACTAGTATTCTTCCTTGAGGATGTGTATGACCAATGAAGACAACAGAGCCAACAAGTTCATCAATGGCCACTATTATCTCTACTGTTTTAATCTATAATTTTTTAAGTGTTATCAAACGTTTGATGCGTTTTGAAATTGCTTTACATATGCTGGATCCATGTTGGGTGATAATGTGATAACAGAAGAAAGGATTTGTTGTAGTGATGCTCGTAGAGGATATTGATGTAGCCACAAAAGCAATGCAGATTGATTAATGTTGATGTAGGTGTTGTAATCAATATGTGAACTCTATTCTTTCTTTTCCTCTGTAAAGACAAGTCATAAAGCTCTGACAGTACGAGCATTTGTTTCATATGTTCAATGAGTAGATGTCGGCCGTGTGTGGGTGTGCAGTGGAATATGTCAGTGGGAACACTAAGAGTTGACTTGGGTGTGTACTGTGTAGTGGATTGTGTTAGTGGAAACACGAGGCGTAAAATTGTGATGTCGATATTAACTCTTAGCAACAGTAGCACGTCTCCTGGTATCAGCAGCTGGAAACAATATATAGTTAATAAACTGAGTCACGTGATTGTAATAAATGATTCATGGAGAATTGGATATAGAAATGAACCACGTGCCGTTGAATTTAAATTGTCCTTGAATTACATGCCTCGCTTGGTCTTTCTGTTATTTTCTCCCACAGCATTTTTTCTTCTCTGTGTAATGAACTTATAGGTTAAGTCTTTTTTTTTAAAATCTACTTCCGTCTTGGTCCCTTCCCCTAAACTTTTATGTCTCTCTACTGTCCCTAAATGCTCCATGTTAGCTGCTGAATTTTTTCTCATCAAAAGCTGAAATTTAGAAATTCTTAGTGTCTTTTTGCAGTTCGCCTTTTTAAACGTACTACATCTAATACAATTTTACTCACTGGACTGAGTGGAAGTGGCAAAACTTTCCTCTTCTACCAGGTAAGTGCTGTTGAATGAACGAATGCAGAACCTGATATAAGCTTTTTTAAAAAGGTTATGTGACTTTATCTTTTTATGATGTCTGTTATATAGCTTAGAGATGGCTCAGCCCATCAGGGTACTGTGACATCGATGGAACCAAATGAAGACAGTTTTATACTACATTCCGAGAGGGACAAGGTAGTGACAGCCATCTCTCTTTTTTTTTTTCCGTGCCTTTTAGCTAGATTATCATTCTCTCAACCTCCACTAAGATGGATCGGATTTTATTAGTTGTTAGTAGTCCACCTCGATTGTATCTTTAGTTTTTATCTTAATTGATTTGCTGAAGTTCCAAGCTTTCTGCAAATAGACTTCAAAATTCAACTATTCAGACCTGTTTATATTTGGCTGCAGAAGGGGAAAACAAGACCTGTTCATATTGTTGATGTTCCAGGGCATTCTCGTCTGCGTTTGAAATTAGACGAGTTTTTGCCTCAAGCAGCTGGCATTGTGTTTGTGGTGGATTCAGTGGAATTTTTACCAAACAGCCGTGCTGCTGCAGAGTACTTACTTCTTCTATTCATTTCCATGTTAGATTATATGCTTGATAACTGATTCTAACATTTTAACACCGTCCCAAAAAGGTACCTGTATGAAATATTGACGAAAGCAACTGTGGTCAAGAAAAAGATTCCAGTACTTCTCCTGTGCAACAAGGTCGATAAAATAACTGCACATACAAAGGAGTTCATAAGGAAACAGCTGGAGAAGGAAATGTAAGATAACTCTACGCTCCCATTTTTGTCAATAGTAGGGATATCGTTAGCTGCTATTTGCATCAGCAAGCTACTCGAGTCCATGTTCTTAGAGTTTCTGAAACAATATCAGTTGTTATTTCAAAAAATAAAAACTAATGTCAAGTTGACTAATGTTAGATGTAAATATAGGATTATATTTGATAAAAAATGCATCCTCTACCAGGACTGCCTCATGGGAAAGCTAACTCAATAGTTCCGCATTTTATACTGTCACGTTTGTTTTCCTTCTTTTTTCCTTTTTCTTTATAGCAAACTTGTCCTTCTGTCAATGGACTTAACTAAAACTGCTTTAATTTTATGTTGAACTGGGAATTTTCTGTTTTCTGAATGTGTTCCACGGTTGTTTTACCAATGATATTCAGCGACAAGCTTCGTACATCAAGAACTGCTGTATCTGAGGCAGATATTTCTAACGAGGTTACGCTTGGAGTACCTGGAGAACCATTTGGATTTTCTCAGTGCTATAACAAAGTAATTGTTGCCGAAGCTTCTGGTTTGACTGGTGAAATCTCTCAGTTGGAGCAGTTCATCAGGGAGAATGTGAAACCTTGATTCAATAGTCAGTCAACGACTCAAAGTGGTTTCCTTGTACCCTTTTCCTTTCTTCCTCATTGATGGAGGAGGAAGAAAAAGACATAGTTAGATGGGATGATCAAGATAAAAATAGAATTTGGACAGTTTTTTTTCTTCTCTTTTGTAATTTGATTCATTCAGACTTTGTTAGTTTGTTATGTCTTGAAAAACTTGTTAATGGCAAATGCCTAGCTAGCTTGGACTATCTTTGTGTCTATTTTTTTTGCTCATTCCAGATTCCCCTTTGCTTGTTATTGCTATTGCCTGTGGAGATTGATTAGTTAATATTTGATAATTTAGGAAGTTCTTAGGGGAGACTTTGAATTCTTTTATGGTACAACGACGACGACGACCCAGTAAAATCCCACTAGTAGGGTCTGGGATAGTGTGTACGCAGACCTTACCCCTACTCGAGGGAGTAGTAAATTGATTGCAAAAATTGAGATTATTTTGCTGATGGTTTTCACTCTTAAGGCAAATCAACAAACTAATTGGAAAGATTTTGTTTTTTGTTTTTTGGGAGGGATGAAAGTGTCATTGGTTGTTAATATTAAAGTTTAAATAATATTTTGGAAAAGCTAAAGGAACCATAAAATGGTCATGAAAAGACAATTTGAAACAAAGTCGTCCTCAAAATTGGTACCTATAATAGGAGCTCAATAACCACAAATTTACTTTCCAAGATTGAATGTCCAGATGGCAAAATATCATTGGCTCTTAACCCTTTGTTTAGATAACAAAATGGATAACATTCCCATGGAACCTTACATGCATACATATTTTTAACACACACCAAATTCCATTCCTTTGCACAAAACAGAAAACAAGTAATAAGCAATCAAACTAGGAAATTTTTTGAGTTGATCAAATGGCTTCAATGACAATGACAACCTCCTTGGCCGGCGGCTCCGTCGCGGCCTTGACCAAAGTCCCGGCCGCGAACCGCCGCGGGGTTGTCATGGTGAAGGCAAGCTCAAAGGTGCCATGTGAGGGAGAAAATGTTGTAATGAGCAACAAGAAAGAGAGCAACAACAGTGGTCGGAGAGAGTTGTTCATCGCCATGGCGGCCGTTGCCGCTAGCTCAGTGGCAAAGGCCGCCATGGCTGACGAGGAGCCAAAGCGTGGCTCCCCGGAAGCCAAGAAGAAGTACTACCAAGTTTGTGTTACAAATCCAACTGCTAGAATTTGCCACAACGCAAATTAAGAGAGGGGAAGTGTATGTTGTCTTTATTCTTGTTATTATGCATGTTTTTTGTTAATGTAAAAAGGAAAAAAAATTAAATAAGACATTGTTAAAGCTTTCTCGTGCAAATTTAGTATTTCAATTACCCTTCTACTATTAAATTGCTTTTTTTACTTTTCTAATATATATGTACTACATTGTACAAATGTGTATATATTAATAATCAAATCCAAGAGCAAGATAGGGCGCGATTAAAAACTCAGTGAATAATGAGTCCGTTCGTTTCCCAAATTATATAATAGTTTGAAATTAATCAGTGACGAAATCATGGAGAGCTATGGTGGATGTAAAAAGTTTTTATTGTTCATTAAAATTTGCCAGAAATTAGAACATTTATTAAAAATTACTCAAGAAAAGACCGTCTAAATACCATGAAAATCAATTTAAACTATGTGAATGAGTAATACATAAAATAACATAATCTTTAAATGGATAATAGACTATGTAAAAAAACACTTTGGCCTTCAAAATTTTCCAAACACCAATGAGTAATTCTGGCTGGAATTTGGCATTTGCTTTCCTTCATTTTTCTCTAAAAATTCCATTGCTTCTGAGTGAGTTTTGAACCAAAGAAAACCATAGCCCATAGATTTGCCAGTTTCTTTATCTCTAATCACCTCCACAGAAACAAACTGAAAATCACAAATCAATTAAATAATCAAAATTTAATGTTAAATAACATAAAAATATGAAATTAGATAATCAACACATGATATGAATAAACAGTCGGGCGAGCCCCGAGTGTAGAATGTTATGCGAGTTTAGGGCGCATAGTCGACCGCTTGGGACATAAAGCTCACAAAACTAAGTCTCGGGCATTTTGCAAGTGTCCCGCCTAAGGGTGAGCCCCGGCAATCCCAAAAAAGATTTTTAAGATACTGATTATATTACCGGTTTAAAATTATATATGAAGAAAGATAAACAGTAATTATACCTTTTTGAATGTGTAACAGCACTTGTAATAAAGATAATTCTCATCCATCCAGTCCTGCAAATTATTAACCTTAATACAGCAATGTTTCTCTTCCTCACATTCTGCAACAAATAACCCCATATTGAAAGAAAAATTAAAATATAATATTACCAACTAAATTTTAGGTGAATATTGTTTAAAAACATAACAATTATTCCATACGTTTAAACAATAATAGCCTTCCACTTTCTCAAGTCAATTTTATCAAGTTTTAGTGTCTTTTGAAAGGAAAATACTAAGAGATTTAAGAAATATGAAAAGTAATTTTTTTTTCTCCTAAACAATTTTACAAGAATTTCTACTCATAAACTGAATAAGAAAGTAGAATGTTATTTTTAATAAATAAAGTTTGACTTTTATGCATCAATAATGTTTAGCTGACCTACAATAGCATGTTATTCGCTATAATAACATAATTTATTAATTTAAAAAATAACGTAAATAACATGCTATAGCAAGTTAAAATACATTGATTTTGTAAGAAATTCACTACTAAAATAACGAAAATTTCCGATGGACATTATTCCATCGGAAATCCCTCGGGATTTGGTTTCGTTGCAAAGATCAAATAAAAAATTCCTGTTCTTTAATAATAATTCTTTATACGGTCAGTATATATAAGTTAAATTATTTTTTATAATAAAGAGTATTAATTACCTGAGAGTTTTGGCGCATAAGGGGCAAGTCGAAAAATCTCTACTTTATAGCCAGTGTTGATTTTTTCCCAAACCTTAGCTTGATAATGAAGAATTTTCCTAGAAAATAAATCCATGGCTGCCAAAGTAATATAATAAATTGCACCAGCAGTAGGTTCAAAATTTACATTCATAATTCTCAATAATTCCAACTTTGATTTTTCTGATTTCTCATTGTATTTATCGACTGCAAAAGTTGTAGCTTTCTTTGCTTTTTCAAAAGCTTCAGAATTTTTGCCAATTTTCACTATTCCACATGGTGTTTTCCAACCAAAATCGTTCATTACATAGAAACCCTACATATTTTCATAAAAAAAAATAGCAAAAAGAAGGAAGAAGTTAGTTATCAACAGGGAAAAAAAAAATAACAAAAAACTTACGATATATCAAAACTATAGAAAGTTAAAAACCATACAGCTACATGAAAACACACAATAAAAATAAAATTTAAAAAAAAACATGAAATATCATATTGGATTGCAAGAAAAAATAAAGAAATTACAATCTGGATATTTTTAATTCAAAAATAATAATAATAATAATAATAATAATAATTATGCCAACAAGTTCAATTGAACTTTTAGTATTTCTACATATAGAAAATCACTATAACAAATATTATGTTCTGAACTCATAATTACAAGAAAGAGATTCGATAGTGAGGACATAAATATATATTGAACGTATCAAAATTAAATCCCTGAATTCACTTCTGGCTATTTTAGAATAACAACAATAATAACTTGATTAGCAGCTAGGGGTATTCACGAAAAATTTGTAAATACTTGATAAAATTAATTTAACAAAAAAATTTATAAGCACCTTAACTATTTAAAAACGGAAATTAGTAACGGACAATTGTGTAGCTAAACATCAAAATCACTCGCTGATACTACTTAACTACAAATTAGCAACAAATTATCAAGATTTAACGACAGATTAGCAACGAAGTTTGTACCTGACTCTCGATCACATCTTCCAAGTATTCGTTTTGTTCGAAAGTATACGTGGCCATAATTGGTATTGAAGAAATAGTTGTTCTTATTTGTGAAGAAGAAAGAGATTATTTGTAGATGAAAACAAGAAGGAAAGAACCAAAATATATATATAAGAGGTTTTATAACCAACATTAATATAATAAATCCCATGCCAACAAGGAGTAGGAAGCAAGAAATTAATTAAGTTCTATTCCTTTTGGGATTTCAATTAATTTAATAATTAGAAAGCTTTAAAGTTATTGGAGACTAGGAAAGGGAACCGTAAGGAAAGAGAAAGTAAAAAAGAAATAAATTAAGGGGCGAATCCAAATTAGTCGGGCCTAATGCGTTGGGCGCGAAACAAAAAAAGATATATATATAGAATTTTTCTTTAGTTGGTTGAAAAAATGTTGAAAAACTCCAACTTCCTCAAAACTCGTTAAAATAACACGGTATAGTCAGTTTTCGGACTAGTCATTCAAAAATAGCCAGCATTTACCAAGTCAATGAAAAATAGCCACTATTTTGCTGCAGCAGAGACCGATCCAGCATAATATACTGGAGTTCGGTGCACCTGTGTATGAACTCCAACATATTATGCTGTACCGGTATACTTTGCTCGCTCCAGTATAATATACTGGAGACTGGAATACCGGTGCTCCAAACTCCAGTATATTATGCTGGACCGATATACTTGCTAGAACTCCAGTATATTATGCTGGAGTTCTAGTGTACTTATGCTGGAGCTCCATCATATTATGTTGGAGTTCCAGCATACTTATCTTGGAACTCCAATATAATATGCTGAAGTTCAAGTATACTTATGCGGGAACTCCAGCATAATATACTTGCGTATTTTTCGGATTTTGAACAGTGTTTTCGCTCAGATTTATCTTTACATAAAAAGTGGCTAAATTTCGATTACTCATGAAACTGGGCTATTTTTGAACGACCAGTTGTAAATCTGGCTATTTTTTTATTTCACCTTAAAAAATCTCCTTTACTTTGGTTGAAAAATAATTAGAAACTCTATTTAACTTTGCTAATAGTACTTTTGCAACATTTGAATTATTTTTTTCGTTAATCATTGTAATTAATTGACATTATCTTCAATATAAACAAACAAAATAAAAATTAAAGTCAAAAGAAAAGTAAACGATATAGAAAAAAAAACATTCAATTATCATGATTCATGCCGTCACCTATCAAAAGTACTTGTTAGGTTTCATTAGTTAATCAATTATCTTTTTGCTTTTAATATTTTTTTTAGAAAATAGAATAAGAAAATTCAATTAAAGTATTTCAGGCATTTGTGGTTGCGTAACATATTGAAAGAAAACGATACAATATTTTTCCAAATAGCAAGAAGAAAATACATTCAATTAATCATGATTCATGCTATTAATAAAACAAACGTAATTAAAGAGATATATATTATTTTACAATTTGCTAGTACAAAAATATAAAAAATATTGCAACACTCGAAGTAACAATCTCAAACAATTATAAAAAAATATATATAAGGAATCAACCTCCAAAAACAATAACAACAAGAGGAGAAACGTTTTAGACATTCTACACATTATTTAATAAGTTTTTCTACATTTCAAGACACACTGGTGGTGTACGGTTATCGTTAGTTCGTGCAAAGGCGGAGTCATTTTAAGATTGTGGGTTCGGAGTTTTAATTTTATTAAGTTATTGGGTTCTATATTAATAAATTATATATTCAATAGATTTTTTCAGACAAATACAAAATTAGAATCAAAATTATTAGGTTTAGCCGAATCCACATTGGACACTGTGGCTCCGCCCCTAAGCTCGTGTGGTAAGGTGTTGGTTAGGTTCCGTAACAAACACAAGTCTCATGTTTGGACTCTGTTTTAAAAGGCAGAATTGGGACTCGCCCCGGGGCGGAGCACTCGTAAAACGCCCCTGGGCTTATGTGTGGGGCTTAGTTCCGTGAGACTTACGCCTCAACTATTGGGGCTTACGCCCCGGACACGCCCAACGCCCAACGTACTGGGCTCGCCTAACAGAACTTTATGCAATTGTATGTAACTAACCTTGTAAATCCTCAAATTTTCTTAATAAATCGTTGACTATTCAAATTTACTTTTTTTCTTCTAATTTTAAATCATTAAATTAAGAGTATTTTATGTCATTTAAAGTAAAAATTATTGCACGTTATCCACTAAGATTGCTATGATAGTTAATTTTAAATAAATCTTTCATTTAAAAAGTATTTATTTATTAACTTTTGTTATGTCTTACTATATACTAGTCCATAATTTTTTTTATAATTATTTTTTCTAATTTTTTTTTCATGTTTATGAGATATAATACTTATTAATTTAATAGCTCAGTATTAATAACTATTTACAAATAATTACATCATGGTATTGTATGGTGAATTATGTGTCACTTTATGAACTTGTTGAAACTTAAAAATGAACGATGCTTGAGAATCATATTTAAATTGTGAATTATGTTTTTATATAAATTCTCTTTCAAATACAAAGCATATTAAATAGAAAGAGTATTTTTAAGAAAATATCAAATTATAATATCGAAATTCTTTCAAGATTCATTACTCCTTAAGAGATACATATAAGATTTCGTATCGAATACATTACTTTTGATGTTTGAGCTGTAACGACGTTGCAGCTAATTTGCATATTATGATATATGTCATACTTTTCGTATTATTCATAGTTCAATTATAATTTATAAATATTTTTAAATAGGTTGTTCGTATAATTTTGTGATTTTAACGTAATTTTTATAATTATTTTTTATTTTATGCTATCTTAAAATTCTTGAAATTAGTAAAATTTAAAGATCCGTGGTACTTACGCCCCATGTCTCAGGGCTTACGCCTCGCCTCGTCAGAGGTAAAACGCCTCGCCTCACGCCCCCGCCTTTTAAAACACGTATTATTTCATTTTCATTCTTTTATATTACTTCGAGGCTCTTATGATTTTGGTTTTCTTGAGCCAAGATTCTATTAAAAACAGTCTCTTTATTTATACAAGGTAGATGTAAGGTCTAATTCTGTTACTTAAAAATCACCAATTCAAAGATCATTACACAGAAGTTTACTATTCTAACTATGTCCTAAAAAATCAATTAACTAAACACTGATCAATTCAATAGAAAATTTAGGGCCCGTTTGGCCATAAGAAATTTCTTTACCTTTTTCGATTTTTTGAAATCAGTGTTTGTCCATGAAAATTTCAAATTTCACTTAAAAACCTATTTTTCTAAATTTTCACTTCAAATCACTAACAAAAATGCAAGAACAGATCCAAATTATATTCATGTCCAAACATAACTCTAATTTTCAAATAACAATTTCACTTAAATTATTTTTCTTCACCTTTTTCCGAAATTTTATAATTTTTATGTCCAAACACCCACTTAGATAGTAGTCCTATGAGAAGATCATTAAACGCCGTCGTTTTTAAGTACCCACCATTACCAATGGAGGTCGAACTTTCAATTACTAACTGAAGAAAAAACTCTTTTGATTGGGCTGTCAGTAATGGTGATTTACAAACATACATAGGAGAGCTCCAATTGCATAATTTGGTGAAAAATGATGAAAACAAAATTTCAATTCATTTTTTTACTCTTTGTTATAATATCTTCAATTGACAGATCTGTATCTCTTCCTTCCATTGACAACCTCGGAATTTCCCCTCAAGGTTTCCCGTTAATTTGTCCTACACTCATTTCTTTATTTCAATTTATTTCGTAAAAAATAATGATAAATATCCAATCTTCGCTTTTATAATGGGATTAATGAGGATCCATTTCGTGATTTTATAATTTTCCGGTAAAAATATTCATTAATTTTTGTTATTGAAGTGCAGATGAGAATTATTACAAGGGTCTATCATTGGGTGCTATAAAATGCAAAGATGTGTCCAAGAAATTCACTAAGTCTCAGCTCAATGATGATTTTTGTGACTGCCCTGATGGGTCCGACGAGCCAGGTGTGTGTGTGTGTGTGTGTGTGTGTGTTTGTGTGTGTTTGTGTTTGTGTTTGTGTGTGTGTGTGTGTGTGTGTGTGTCTGTGTATGTGTGTGTGTGTGGTTTGTGTGTGAGTGTGAGTGTGTGTGTGTGTGAGTGGTTTGTGTGTGTGTGTTTTCCCTATTTTCCCTCTTATCACTTGTTCCTTTGTTTATGCAAAAAATATGCATTTCTAGTTGTGGAAATAGATACGTATGATATAGATCCAATGTGGTACGGCCCTTCACCAAAACCCACATATAAGAGGAGCTAAGTGCACCAGGCTGCCCTTTAAAGTGCCCCTCATGCGGGATCCTGATTGTTTATCTTGGTCCAAGCACGTGAAAATATTTTGTTTGTGGTGGCGCGGGGACTCGAACCGCTAGTGTCTTTGCTTGATATGAAATAATAATATTATGTGAACCACATTATCCAAAAATGGACATCTTCACTTATTTATTTTAGGTCAGCAACATCATAGTTGGGTTTGACTATACGAATCCTCTATATGCATTTCACATAATGGGGCTCATTTCATGCGAATACTAAATAATTTGTCTTTTTAGAAAATTGAGGATTTATTTGCTGTGCATGTCAGAGGCAATAGTATGTTAGAATTTTATTCGGGTACGACGAGCCAGGTGTGTGTATGTATTTCCCTTATTTCCCCTCTTTTTTTCACTTGTTCCTTTGTTTATGCAAAATTATGCATTTCTTATGCATTTCAATCAATCAACTATGCATCAATTTCAAATATCGAATTATGTAGACCACTACAGAAAGACACTTCCATTTACTTATATTAGGTTTGCAAAGTGCCCCTCATGCGGGAGCCTGATTTTTTTTATCTCAGTCCAAGCATGTGAAAATGTTTTGCTCGTGGTGTTGTTGAGACTCGAACCGCTAGGATCCCTGCATGCTCTGATAGCAAAATAAATTGCTTGAACCACCTTATCTAAAAATGGACATTTCCATTTATTTATTTGTTTATTTGAGGTAAGCAACAACATAATTGAGAGCCCGTTTGGATTAGCTGATTTGAAGTAGCTGATAAGCGTTAGGTGCTGAAAAACACTTTTAAGTGCTGAAACTGCTT